AGTTAGAATCAGCAAAATATGGAAAGCATAACATTTTCCCCTTATCTCAATTCAACTTAAAAAAAACACTTAGAGAATAATTGAGTTGAATTATAATGCATTTCAAAAGACATTTTAATTGTCTGCAATTTGGTTATTATTGGCATAATCAACCACATCAACTGTGGGCTGTTACCTTTTGAGATAGGGAACTGGCAGGCACTGCTTAACACAGAGTCAAAAAGTCTCTAACCATCCAGATCAAAGACAGGATGTGGTGCAGAACAAGTTAAAACCAGTTGGAAATAAGGTAGCAAAACAAGAGATCATTTCTTGACCTTGCAGCTCATTATGCTTTAATTATAATACATGAGAAAAGAAACTCTCAATAACACTGTGACAGTTCCTGGAAGGACCTTATAAAGTTAAGAAAGAAAAAGGTCCCAGTTCTAAAAAAACATCACCCCCTTCAGAAAATTAATATGAATATTCCTCCCCTGCTTAGCTTATGATTAAGCCTTTGCTTAAATAAAGAAAACAAAAAACCCCCACAGGTGCTGCTCTCCCCAGGAGGAAGAACTAGCCTCTGCTTTGTCTGTGGAGTAGATCTTCTATACTTCCTAAATAAAACTTGCTTTTGCTTACACTGTCAGCATGCTCTTAAATTCTTTCTGTGTGAAGCCAAGGACCCACTTGAACTTCAAGTGATTCCCAGCACTGGGGATTACTTTCCAGTGTCACTTTGGGGACTGAGTTGAAAAAGAGTATGGAAACCTTTCATTTTACTCTTGTTCCAACCACAGCTATTTGAATCTAACCTTTCAGCAGAACTAAATTTTTCTCTCATATATTTCATACAAAAAAAATTGGATTAATGTAAAAGCATATGAGTGTTAGCATCTCAATCTGAACAAACGTGCTCAGCTAAATCAGTTACTTTTCCAAGCCTACACATTCATATGTTTTGTTTATAATTTTAAGTTTTGTCCAATGAAGTGAAATTGAATAGAGAATTTTCCTTAAAAAAATACAAAGGCTTTTTGTCTATTTTAAAGTGCACAGGATGTTAAACTCTTACATTATTTTCAAAACATGTTCCAAACTTAAATACTTTGTCATCTAAAACAGAGCCAGAACATTTTGAAATTGTCTCTTACTAACATAGTACCCAATAGGTAGTATTAGAATTATTTGGAACCATTAATTCACAGTATCTGTGTTTTATGAAATGACATCCAAAACACTGTGTTAAACTTCTCAGACTATGGTAAACAATAGTCTCTTTCTAAGTCAAATTTGCAATTGGATAGAAAGGCTAAATTTTTTCTTCTGTAAGTTTTAAGGTCATAAAATTTATGTAAACCCTGTATAAATTTAGTATTAAAGCTATAAAGTAGTAAATCTAATAAGAGGCAAAGACCATTTTCCATTTTAATAACTACATTGCAGTATTCTTACAGTAGTTTATATAATATTTGAAATAACTAAATTTCAATAGGATTTATTATGCCAATTTAGTTACATTCTTAGAGACTTTTACCTCTACACAGTAACTATGCAAGTTAAGACTGTATTGCTTTGAGAATTGACCACCAACATTGATCACATGGAGTAGTCAGTCATGTAATGGGTACTGAATGACTTGTCCTTTTGAGGGTTTCAGCTGACTTGTGAAGACATTTGATGTAATTTTATCCTTGTCAGCTATAGATATAACAGGGCTGTTTAAGGTAAGAAAATAAAAAAGATGTGCTACAATTTTAATGCACATCTTATTCCCTAAGCAAATGTTCTTTCTGGTAATTCCATTGAAATCTAGAATTTTTCTACTTTAAGACAGAGTTTATTGAGCAAAAGTGAATAAAGCAAAATAAAAAATATTATCCACATGGCCTCAAAGTTGTCCTCTGAGGGCAGGTAATGACTTAGCCCACTCCTTCTCTGGAGGTGCTTGTCTAGACAGGCCATGGTCTGATGAGCTGGTGGTAAGAGTCCTCATCTAAGACCACAGAAGATGATGGATAAATTAGATGGGCTTCATTGGTCCCAAGAAACAAAACCAATCCAAGCTAAATTTAGCCAAAAAGAAATTTATCGTAAAACTGAAAACGAGACTTAATGGACAACATTTACTGGGTGCTTATTAGGTGAAAAGAGCTGTCCTCAGCACTTGAATTGTCTCATTGAATCTGTACCATAAGCCTATGGTGTGTGTTGTTATTGTTCTTGTTTTACAGATAAAGAAATAGAGGTACAGAGAATTAAGTAAATTGCTCAAGATTACACAGAGTGGTACAGGCCCCAGAATAGGAGCTGGGATGCCCTGGGCAACTGTGTGTGATGACACACTCCACTGCTCGGCCTTGGAGAAGCAGCTGGACTTCAAATGTGCATCACCCATTTCAAATCCTTAAAGCTCTCTGTTCAAGATGCAAAGCCTCACAAAAGACATCCATTGGCCTGACCTGGGTATTAGCTGATGAGTGCAGGGAATTTGAAAGGATTCCTACCATCATACCCGCAATGAAAGATGGCTAATTTCCCAAAAGGAAATGGAAATGCTGTTAGGAAGGGGAATGTACACCAGGTATCTTAGTCCACTTGGGCTACTATGACAAAATACCACAAACTAGGTACCTTATAAACAAAAGAAATATATTTCTCACATTTCTGGTGTCTGAGAGGTACAAGAGCCAGGCAGATTTGATATGTGGTGAGAACCCAATTTTTGGTTAATTCGTGGCACCTTTTTGTTGTGTCCTTCCAGTGTAGAAGTGACCAAGCTACCTGGGGTCTCTTTTATAAGGGTACTAATCTCATTCATGAGGGCTCTGCCTTTATGGCCTAATCACCTCCCAAAGTCCCTGTCACTTAATACCATCACCTTGGGAGTTTGGATTTCAACATATACATTTTGAGAAGACACAAACGTTCAGACCATAGCACAGGGTGATCCTGTAGAAATCAAATCCCATATACACTAGAGGGCTAGTAAAACTAAAAATAAAATCTCATCTCTTGCATAAAGGAAAGAGTCAAGAAGCTTAGCACCATAGGAATTAAGAGAGGAGAATGAAACTAATATTTTTAGAATTAGGAAGGTGAGAACAAGCATCAAATGAAGGGGATAAAGAATTTCCTAAAACATTAGACTGCAGCCTGCTTTTATAATGCATGCATGGTTTATAAGTTACAAAAAAAAACATTGAGGGAAACTAATCTCACATTGCCAATTAGGATTGTACAGACTTCATTCTCCATTGAATTTAAACACATAAGCAACTGTGCACCACAGTATTTGAGTAGTGATTAATTTATATCTTTCCCTAGTTAAAAAACTGACAAAACTCTTAATATGGTATATTCTTTACTTTCCTAGTTTAGGTTTTGTGTTGTCCGCTAGACATTCTTGCTTATATCCTGTACCATCTTTCTTTTACAAAGGCTGAAAATAAAAGTATCAAATACTATTTAGACACATCTTGTCTAAATGAACCTCTGTACAAAATTGTCATGTTGCTCTTGGACTTCAGCACTGGGCAGATCAGGTAAACATTCCTCCTTAACAAGATTTTATCATGTTTGGGGTGCACCGTGCCATTCATTAACAAGGACCCAGAGAAAGCTTTTAGAAGTGGTGTGTGATCTAGCCATTGTTCCTGTTAATTCTTCCAATTCAATATCTTAAAGTTGCCAAGGAGGACTTCTGATGAGAAGATGATAAAAGAGATGAGAGAAGAGAAGCTGAGAAAGGCCAAAAGGGGAGGGTGACCTCAGGGAAAACTGGTCAGAAAATTTCAAGAAATTCTCATTTGATGAATGATGGGTTCTCTGTCAAAGAGAAATTTGCTTATAAGGTGTACTTGTGATCAATTGTTTATATTTCTTCAAAATATTTGGTAAATTTTGTTTATAATTTCATCTGTTATGATTATTTTGTAGAAAATTATTTTGATTGTTGTTGCCCCAGTTTTAAGAACCCCAAGGGTAATTTTTGTCTAAGAAACATTACTAGGAGGGTCTTTTGTATTATTTTCCACAATAGTTATATGTTTGAATAGCTAATTCGATTTTTTATATTAAAAGAAAAATGTGATTTCCTGGTTCTAGATACACTTTCCTAATTATGTATAAAGCCACTTGTTTATTGGCCTCATCAGAGACCCGCTAAGTTTTGGGGGGCCCAACTGAAGTCCTTTGGTACCGGGTAGAGAAAAAGAGAGGTTGTGAGTGAATTCCATGATTGCTCCAATGTATAATTTATTTGCTTAAATAAATTATAAAGCATAATTTTATGCATACCTTGTTTAAGATAGAATATGGTGGCTTATTTGGATTTGATTAAATTTAATTCAGTCCCATATATTATGAACAGCCACTGATTTTTCAACATTTTCTAAACTAATTTGTGGAGATATAGTTTTATGTTTGGATGTGGAAATCATAAAACTTTGACAAAATAGTTGTCAAATGTCAATGTCTATAGTGAATAGTATTAACTTTCTCATCCAGCTGATAAAGCAATCAATTAAGAAGAGAAGCTGCAGAAACAGTGAGGAAGATGGAAAACAGCTGGGATTGTGCGTGGAAGGGAAACCATAGCTTTCTCTGGGTCCTTGTTAATGAATGGCATGGTGCACCCTAAACATGATGAAATCTTGTTAAGAGAAGGAGGAATATTTACCTGATCTGCCCAGTGGTGAAGTCCAAGAGCAACATGACAATTTTGTACAGAGGTTCATTTAGACAAGATGTGTCTAAATAGTATTCGATACTTTTATTTTCAGTCTTTGTAAAAGAAAGATGGTACAGGATATAAGCAAGAATGTGTAGCGGGAGGGAGCAGCAAAGCCATGGGCTGATAATGAGACGATGTAGGATTTATTCTTAAATAAATCTCAGAATGATTTCTGAAAATAAAATGAGAAAAATTATGATATCTTAGAATTCTTAGAAAAATCGGAAAGTTGTCTTTATCATCCAATCAACAGAATGAGTGAGCTACTGCTGTATTTTTCCCTTCTCAGTTGAACTTCTTGAGGAAAACTGAGAATTGCTACCTACACTTCATACAACTTGGCTTTCACCTCCATTTCTCCCCTGAACTGCTCCTGTCAAGGTCAGCAATGAGTTTCTTAACATCAGCAGTGATTTCTTAACAAAATCTAACTTGCCATGTAGTCTTTAGTATTTTAGGTTCTCTATTATATTTAAGTGTTTTCTGTGTCTTTTTTTCAAACACTCACTTAAAAAATAAAAATTAATTTTTATCAAAACATTTCATGCAAAAATTTTAAAAATCCTTGTGTACTCACAAGGATTCATCATGATAAATAATAATGGTCCTGGTCAGCACCCAGCACTAACCCTCCCCACAGTTTTCCAGATGCAGACCACTTCTATCCTTTTAGATGTTTCCATGGGACTTACTTTTATAACTGTAATATTCCTATACTGCTATCTAAAGATTTTTCTATTTTAGACCTTATTTTTTTCCTTATTTTTTTTCATTTTATGTTCCATGAGTATTTTAGCTCATACCTTCTCTTCCTCTAACCATATCATCTCAATATAATTACATATACATTTTTGTATTCTATATTTAGTGCCTTCATTATTATGACCATTTAAATATTGTTTATTTTTATTCCAAATAGTATCTATGATTTTGTTTTTCCTTAAGTGGGTTTATTAATAATGCCTCCTTATTTATTTTATTAGAATAAGCATTTTCACAATATTTTGTTAAATATTTCCAGATACAATTTTCCATCTGGACAAGTCAGGTAAATAATTTATCTGTTCAATTACTTTTTTCTGGAGACATCTTCCTGACCTCTGAGACTCATACCTCAGAGACTTTCTGACCTCTTCTTCCATTCAGAAGGTGTTCCTCTTTTGGCAGTTGCCTAGCATCTGTCTTGGATATTTTTGCCCTTTTGCTCTTCTCTTTGTCTTTTTTGTTCTTGGTTTACTCTGTTCTTGGTGGCACATGTTTTTCTAGCTGTTTCGTGAGAACAGGCCCATGGGAGGCAAATATATAAGCATTTGTACATTGGAAACTATTTTTATTTGATCTATCCCTTTAATGATAGTTTAAATAGGAGAAGGGGTCTATGTTGATTCTTATTTGTGCTCAGAATTTTGAAAGCACAACTTCATTGTCTTTTAGATTCTATTATGGCTTTTGAAAAGATGAGATTGGCATCTTTTATTTTTTCTATGTAACCTTGGTTCTTTCTCAGGAAGAGCTTAGGGCTTTGTGTTGGATTTTTAATGTTTTGATGTTGGAATTTTAATGTTTCTCACTATAGGGTTATTTAGTGTAGGGTTCCTCCCCCCCCTGCCCCCCCAGCAACTATTTGAGCACTTGGGTAGGCCTTTTCTTAGAGCTTGGAGGTTTTTCAGTTTTGAAAAATATTTCCTTATTTTTTTATGCTTCCTTTTCTTTTCATATATGTTTTCTTTTTCTGAAATTACTATTGTTTAATGCTTTACTTTCTGTATTAATGCTACCTTTCTTTCCTATGTTTTATCTTGATTTTTCTCCTACCTTTTGGAGGATTTTTTGCATTATATATTTCAAATCCTCTATTGAATCTTTTGCCATATCTTTTTAGTTATCATAGCTTTTGAATACATCTTTCTTTTTTCCTGAATGTTTCCTTTTATTAACAGTCCATACTTCTATTGGGTTGCAATGTCTTTTATTTCACTCCCTGTATTGTCTCTTTTTCTTTTTTTCCTTTTAATTAAAGATAGGATCTTGCACTGTTGCCCAGGCTGGAGTGCTTTGGCATGATCATATTATAGTTCACTGTAAGCTTGAATTTCTGGGCTTAAGAGATCCTCCTGTCTTGCCTTCCTGAGTAGCTGGGACTATAGATATGTGCCATTGTGCCTGAATAATTTACGTATTTATGTATTTATTTGGTAGAAATGGGGGTCTTACTTTTTTGACCAGGCTGATCTTGAATTCCCGGCCTCAAGCAATTCTCCTGCTTTGGCCTCCCAAAGTGCTGGGATTACAGGCATGAGCCACTGCACATGATCTGTCTTCTATTCTTATTTTGTGATCTCTCTCTCTCTCTCATTAAAGCCTCCCTCAAATGTCTGTGAGTCTTAGTCATTCCTTCTAATTTAGGTCTTAGGTACTAATAAATTCATGGCAAGCTCTGTGTGCATTGCAGGGCTTAAAGACAAGGTAGAGTTTATTTTTTGGTGAAAGATTCCAGCTTTTTGTTGGGAAGCTCCTGATATCAGCATCTGTAGGCATTTCTCTGGGTAGTTCAGTTTCTCCAGAGAATAATCTAATTCCCTGAGCTGGAATTGGAGTGTGGATTAGGCAGTGAGCATAGTATAAACATGGTTGCTGGCATTGTGGAACTGGATGGAAAAGAGGTCAGGTCAGGCATTTTTCAGAACAAGAGTTTTCAATTAATCTCTATGTTTTCAGTATGCTACCTAATCTGCTCTCCTTTCTGTTTCTTAGTTCAGATCCAGAGACTAGATCTCAGTCTGCTGTGGAGGTTGGGAGAGAACAGTCATCTTTGAATTGTTCTTTAACTTTGATACATTTCTTCATTTTAGGCTTCACTTCTTAGCTTGTCTCTGACTTCAGAGGTAACAGGTGCTTCCAATTCCTGAGTTTGGAATTTCATTCCATCTGCAGACATTTACTTTTTAGGTATCTAGATTTCACCTTCATGTGTTCTCCTGAGCTATCATTTCTTCTTCAGTGTTCTTTCTTCACATATCAGAATTTAGGTTTACAATTGTTTCTTCATTTTATTAAAGATGAATTTGTGCTTTTGTTTCTTACCGTCTATTTTAAGCCAATATATTCAAGAGAAGAAGGTGGAGTCTTCACCCTTTTTGCTCAAGGACATTTGCTCTTCTTGTTTTGCTCCTACTTATTTGACTACTATCCATCTTACTTATGTACCTCATGACTTTTGTCTATTTTTTAAATATATAATTACTTTGAACCATAGTCTAACTGAACTTGGCAATTTTGTGCTCCATGTGACTGTTTCACCATCTAAAACTGATGAATGGTTCCCCAAGTTGATTTTCAAAACACTATTCTTATTTTTAATCCAGAACACTGTCATTAAATAATCAAAGGAAAGAAAATGTCAACACAGATTTTTTTTGCATGATGGAAAATCTCTCTTTTGACTTTTAAAAGAAATATACCATGCATGTTGCAAGGTCCAGTTGTGTAAATATTACTAATATAAATGACATTGCCAAGAAATTATATAACACTAGTGAAAATAGCAATTGAGCTGGGTGAGGTGGTGCATGTCTGTAGTCTTAGCTTCTCAGGAAGCTGAGGTAGAAGGATCACTTGAGCACAGGAGTTCCACTGGGCAACATGGCAAAACTGTGTCTCTAAAGCCAAAAAAGCAATTAAAGTTATTTAAAACACTAAGTGTTCACACAAAAGTGTATAAAGCCACATAAAAATGGCCTCTGATTTATTCTACTTTTGTCTTAAAGCTATTATATAAGTTTAAAGTATATATCTTATTACCTAAAAATAAAACAGGGAAAAGTTGTATAAATACAACTTTGTGAAATACATCTTCTACCATTTTAAAGGTCTAAATTTTCCTCGTTAAATGAATATTTGAGCCTGATTATAAAGCAAGACAAAACAAAGATACAACTGTTACCATGAGAACTATAAAATCAGTATAGAAGCTCAATTTTAATCATTTCAATTTTTTGATCTTTTAATTTCAATTTTTTCAAGTTTTTCCTTTGTCTTTGCAGTATCCAAGATTCAAGGAAGAACTTGTCTTAAGTAAAGTTGTAAATTAGAGAGAGTTTGGCTTTTGCTATCTTTGACTCATTTCTTTGTCCTTTGCCCTATTCCCTGTCAACACTTCTTTTCTCTGAGATTTTTCACACATACAATTGAAGTAACAGATTCAACTTCTAGGCCTAATGCCAGTAATTTACACCTTTGCACAAATTGAAGTTAGTAGTTTTCCTTTGCTTAGGAATCCATGCATTTTTAAGCATGTCTCTGATGATAGATGAGCCTGTGCATGTTATTTGAAAAGAAATTTCAGAAGTCAGATGGGAGAGGGATTTTAGGAAACAAGCAGTGCTTTCTAGCACCTCTCAAATCATACCCTGTGGTGGAAACTCAGCCAATAGATGAGGGTAGCCTGGCTTTGAGGTTTAGACAAAAAGAAGGAGGGAATAGGAACACTCACTTGCATAAATACTTATATTTGTATTCAACTGTGTTTCAACTGACTTTCTAACCTTTTAGAAAACAACATTTTAGATTCTTTGCACCACACAGTAGCTCTGTGTGAAATTTATAGTAATTTAAACAAAAACTCCCTCTGGCTTCACATGACTGAATATTTGATTATAATTATAGAAACTGAACTACCAGGCAACTCCTTCCAGCTCCATGTGGTACATCTGCTGAAGTAAGCCTTTAGAAGTCAGACAGAATTGAAATGTCATGCTCTGGGGGAAATGTACACAACACAAAATTAAATGATGAACAAGAAGGGGAGAGCTCATAAGGTGTGGGCTTACGTGTAAGCTGATTAGTTCCTGGCTTCAATGAGGAGCCTTCAGGAAACAGTAAAAGAGGGGGATTGTGGATTTGTTTGCTTGTTTGTATTAGCCTAATGGAGTATAGTGTTATCTAAGTCTAGGTGCAGTAAAATTATAGGTAACAAAGGTTTTAAATTAATTAATAAAGGTATATTGTCATTCAATTTTAAAACTTATTTAAATGTTAAAACAGTACGAACATTTCAAAAAGAATAAAGAGTGAAAATTACTATATTAAAAACTTTGGTATATAAACTTTTAGACATTAAGAAAAACCAAAGCTATTTGGCTTAATTTAAAGCAAAAAAAAAAAAAGCTAGGGCTTTTAAAGTAAGTATAATTAGAGATATTGGGAAAGAGAAATATATGACATGTTCTTGCTAAATTTTCAACAAATCTATAAAGATATAACTAATAGTGTTAATTTAGTTAAAAATAAATTTTTTTCCAAAGAGATGTGTTACTATATCACTTAAGCAACTAACCTTTTTTTTTGAAAGTTAAACAAGTAGCATATTAAACCCACTGAAATAATAAAATGAATTATTTTTGGTACTTTCCTATTTTCACATGAAAATTTACTAATATCATTTTGGACCAATACCAGTATTTGTATCAACCAACATTGGTTTTAGTTCACTAACAATAGGTAGACCATAGGCCAAATTTATATAATTGATTGTGTCTTCCTCTGTTATGGCTAATTAGCCAATCACCATCAATATAAATAAGGTTTAGTGTTAAGAATATTGTTATTGCCTATTTATCAAAATAACCATGGGTATTAAGTTTTAAATATTAAAATTATTTAAATAATAGATTTAGCAAGTATTTGACTTATTTTACTATTGAAATAATCTTCTTGGACAAAATGCTCTCAATAAAATCAAAATTCCTATGCTTTGTGCTTGAGAGGGGAATAGACAAATAGAACTTGAAACTCTTTGGTGTGATAAAGCAAAGGGGTCTTAAAGAGAATGAATTCTGAAGAATTTTTGTTTTATCTGTGCTGCAGTTGTACCATTTGTTGAAATTCACAGAGCTCATTAATTTCAACAAGAGATACAACATGAATAAAGATTTAAGAGATACAGAAATGTTAGCAACTTGTTGGTCAATAGAAATACATTTCTGTAAATTGTTATGTCAGAAAGACTTTATTTCAAATATATATTTTAATAAAAATATTCATACACATTCATGCAGAAATACACATGTTTGATTCATAGGACTTCTCAGTGATTTGTGCAAGGATGAGACTTAACCTGTGGGAGAGGACAGGTGTCTCTTAGACAGAGGGCAGGTGCCATTCCTTAGAAAACAGTGGTGCTTGAATGATTAGATGTAATTTCATTACCACTCTTAGTCCTTAAGGATTAAACTTGAGGACTCTGGTATTACTTGCTAGGAATAATTTCAGCTAACATTTTAGAATACATTTCTGAATCTAGGTTAGGTTAATTCAGGTCCAGGAAAAGAATAGGGAAATTAAAACTTCAGTCTATGAACTATCGAAGTAGAGACCGAAATGTTGTATTAAAGTAGGGTATGGTCTTTAAAGGAAATAAATACTGAGTAAGAAATACAGAAAATTAAGCCTATCCATGTAAGATTACTGAAGGACAAAAATCACAGAGAGTCAGAGATAGAAAAATGTTGAGGCTATAGTTTCAGCCCACGCAGTGAATCCACTGTGCTCATGCACTAGTCTGGGTATTGGAATTCAAAATCAAGGTTAGATAGGGCGTGGGTCTTTGAGAACTTATAGAATAAAGAAATGGAAAGTCTAATAAAATTGCAAAGTATAGTATATAAGTTTGCGTTTCTGCTTCTTGGTGATGTTGGAAGGTGCAACTTTCTTTTGCATAAAACATTTCCTCTACAAAATAATTTGAGTAGTTATTAGGAATTAGATGTGATAAGCAATTACCATTAAATACATCCCAAATTGGATCTATCAGTTTAAGTTAAATCATACTTCATGTAGAATTGATAACTCTGTGTATAAAGTGTTACTCTTTTATAAAATGGAAAGCAGATAAAATCTGGCAGATTTAAAGTGCTCATTAACTTTTAACTTCGTTGATTCTCTAATGAAGTTAATGAGCCTACGAATTTATGTGATGTATTAGAGAATGTTCTAAAATGAATTTCTGTAGACTTACTCCAAATCAGTGATCATGTTTTAACAAGCAGTTCTTTCAATAGATATAAACCAAATAAAATAAAACATCAAAATTGACACCTTTGTCATTTACATAAGCTATTTATCAGCACTAGACTTATATTTTAAATTTGACAATATTTGTATTTACCTTAATGCAAAAATGATTCACTGTCATTAACTTTTTGTAGAAAGGAAATAAATGATAAGAATATATTTCTATATGAAATTGTATGTGGTTTCAAGCATGTCTTCTTTCTTAACTGAGGATTTTTAGGGAATATGCTGTCAATCTAACTCACTGGATTAGGTACTGTATATAAAGGCCAGTGACATTTTTACCTTATTTGTAATATTATTATTTACATACATGCCTAGCTGAATTTTATTTGGGGTTCAAAATAAGACACAAAATATATGAACTGATGGAAACTCTGCCCCTTGGGATACTGCCTGAGGATGCAGTACATGTGTCTGCATTTATGTGCTGAAGAGTTATCATCATGAAACATGTTGGTCGAAGCAAATGAGAATGAAGGTTGCGCATTTCTCCTTATTTGGCAAAGCCAACTAATTAGAAGAGCATACAACCAAATGATTTATTATTTATATCGTCATGATTAGAGTCAACATAAAGAATACCATGTTCCTGGTGTCCAAAATATTCTTAAATATTTGGGTTGGATTAACATATTTACATATTTATACAAGGCAATGACAACAAAATCTTTCTTCAATTTTTTCCTTTATCCTAATTAGTGCCACATATATCTCTTAAGACTGCCCTACTTAAAACCATATTAAGTCTATACTTCTGACTCTTTGCATTATAATGTCTTGTAATATGGAGAGCTAGCTAATTTATTTCTGTTAGAATTCACTGATAATTTTGTTTTGAAGTCAGCCTGTTTTTAATCTCCTTTTTAAATGGTGTCATTCTAGATTTTTGCTGTTTTTGTCAGAGTGAACTTTTATTCTTTATCTCTTACCTTCTATTTCTTTTTATTTTGACCTAATTCTTTTTTCTCCCACATTTGCTTTGACTTGCATAATCATTTTTATTCTCCAAGGGGATAAAAAGCTCAGAGGGGGTTTGTGCCTTTTCCAAACATTACGTGATTTTCTCTTCTTCCTTTTACCTAGTTATTGTCGTCAATTTATCAACTTTACTCTTCCTTACAAACTATTCTGACTAATTCTTCTCCTCTAATACTGTATTAGTTATTAGTTGCTGCATAACAAATTTCCCCTAGAACTAAAAACTTACAACAACAATAAATGCATATTATCTCATACCGTTTCCATGGATCAGGCACTTGGGAACAGCTTAGCTGGATGGTCCTGACTAGGGGGATCTCTCATCAGTTCTAGGAAAAATGTTAGCAAAAGGCTTGACTGAGGCTGGAAGATCCACCTCCAAGGTAGCTCACTCAGGTTCCTGGAAAATTAGTGCTGGTTATTGGCAGGAGGCTTCAGCTCCTTTAAGTGTGTTCCTCTTCAGAGAGCTGCTTAAGTTCCTCATCATACAGCAGCTCATTTCCTTCAGAGTAAGTTGTCCCAGCAGAGGACAAGACAGAAGCTGCAATGTTGTTTATGACCTAGTCTGAGAAGTCACACTATTGTTTACCCAGGTCAGCCCTATTCAACATAGGCGAGAACCACACAGAGAGTGAATATCAGAGTAGCCAAGTATCATTGAGAGAAATCTTCGCGACTAGTTAACCTGAATATGTACAATCTATGACTTTCATCTCAGTTCCGATCATTCAATAATCAGTTGGATAATTTTTATTAAACACTCACCTTCCTTTTACATGTATTTTTAAACTTTTATCTCCCTATAAACACAAGTTTATGTTTGCATTTTATCATCTTGTAATTAAGGAACCTTCAGTCTCAGACTCAGAATTTTGGTTGCTCAATACCCAGCTTTTTATAGACAATGAAAGAAATTCCTATTTCCACATAATCTCCTTTTAGCATATTTTTGTTACCTTTCCTGTCAGCATCAGTATCAACTTGTTCTGATTATTTTCTATTTATTGCTCAACTTTACTTGGACATTAGTATTTTTATCTAGGCTATCTTCTCTGTCAGTTGTTATTAGTGTTATTATTGTTATTAGAGTACTCTGGAAGCAATCTTTCACTCACAAAAAAATCCCATATTTTACCCAGAGTAGTTGAAAACTTAAGTGAAAAAAGCCAATCAAAAAAGACTACATACTATATGATTCCAACTATATGACATTCTGGAAAAGGCAAAGCTACAGAGATGGTAAAAAGATCAGTTGTTGTCAGGGGTTGGGGATAGAAAGGAAGGTTATATAGGCAGAGCACAGAGGATTTTTACATCAGTGAAAATACTCCATATGCTGCTGTCATGGTGTATATACATCACTATACATTTGTACAGATCCAGAGAACATAGAACACCAACGGTGACCCCTAATGTAAACTATGGACTTTGAGTGGTTATGATATGTCAATGCAGGTTCATCAATTGTAACAAATGTAACCACTGTGAGGGGGGATGTTGATAATGGGGGAAACTATCTCCATGTGTGGGGCAGGGGATTTATGGGAGATCTCTGGACCTTCCTTTCAATTTTACTGTGAACCTAAAACTGCTCTAAAAAGATAAAATCTTTAAAAAACATCTCAGATTTATCTTGCTTTTTCCTGGCACAAGGCATTGAACCAGCTATTATTCAAAGAGCTCTGGTCCCTTTTAGTAGGGAATAACATCAAAGGCCAAGATATGGAACCCAGAAGATCACATTTGATTGCTTCATGTGCATCCTGGAGGTAGGTAAGTTGTTCTGCTTTATACTTATGGTTCTTCTTTTGTGAAGTCTTAGATTCTGTGGATGTGAGAAATGGTCACAGTCATCCTTTCACTTAAAGAAATAGTTTCTTACTGAATTCTTGAAATTATATTTGGATTTGATTTCATATATAAGAAGTAGAAATATATGAGGTAAGAAATAAGATGTAAGATCTAATCCAAATTAGATGACATGTGATATGTGAGAGATAAAGAACCAAGGAAGGACTGGTTGGTAATTGTTGTCTTACCTGAAATTTAAAACATATTTATACAAAAGTCATTTAATTACAAGTGTATTGGATAAGAGGAGTTTATATTAATACCTCCATGCTTTCATTTTGAAGCTGCATATTTTTGAGCAGTTCTTCACTTTCTATAAAAATAATTATAAAATAATTTCTATAAAAATAACGGTTTTCACTTTCTATAAAAATAATGATTTTCATGGATAGTTTCTGAGTACTTTTTCAAAAATTGTGAAGTTTCATGGGTAGAAACTCTAGCTCTAAAGTCAACTCTAACCTGACTCCATTAGATGGAGCGAGATATTTAAAATCTCTAAACTTCAGTTCCTTCATCTGTGAAATAGGGATAAGACTAATAATCTTCTGGTATTTTAAACATAAAGGTAAAATAAGAGGCATTCAATTAACATTAAAAAATGAATGAATGATAATGTGTGATATTTTCTATGCATTATATGATCAAAAGATTAGCATAGTGCCTAGGACCTAATACATGCTAGTTTAATGCTACCTTATTCTTATTAATCCTATCTGACTTCTCCTTTTTTATTTCAAGAAATTTTTTGATAGTCCTTTTTAATACAGCAAAGTCCTTCCAACAATCTAAAGTTTTTCATTGTGGACATGAAAAACATCACTGACATATTTACTAATAGACTTTGGGCAAGAAGGTGATATGACCAATTGAAAAAGAACTAGTTTTAGTGCATATTTGCAAACTGTGTGAGTTTGGGTAAATTACTAACCTTTCTGAGACTCAGTTTGCTCTTAGAAAAAAAATAGAATAATATGATATATCATTAGAATTGTACTAAAGATTAAATGAATAGCTCCTATCATATAGTAATCAATACTGCTATTTTTTGAAAGAAAAAACACTTCTCAGTATAATCACCTCTCTGTTATACTAAACCTACCAGCAAATGGAATTTGTGTCCTTCTACATTTGTGGGGATGATTCTGTTCAGTGACATTTGCTTTCAAGTGAGATTGACTCAGTCTTGATTTGTATTATACTAGTTTAATTCTATTTTAAATAAGAAAACTAATTTACATTTCTCAGACATTAGGTTTCATTAATGCTTATCTGTAAGACAAGTAATGTGTTATCACAGTTTAGGAATTAAGGGACTCAAATGATTACAGCACAAGCACAGAGGCTGATCATTTTAAGTACAGATGATCAGAGATGTTGCTTCAGCACCATGTATAAAAGCTTATCATCTTGATAAGGGCCCAAGTAAAAGTATATGACTCAAAGGGAGATCAGATGGGACCCCCTCAATTTACAGACAATGAAATACAACTAGGGGTTCATGTTATGCATTTGCAGTCCTATAGTGAATTTTGTAGAATGATTTGTTCTCAGTCTTGTGATTTTTCTACTATGTTATATTATTCATCTATTGACTAGATTCTAGCCCTTTTTCATGAATAAGTTTGTACTGAAGATGAAATTGTTAAGGAAAAATCAGGGAAATACAATGTCAATAAAATGCCTGTCTTAGAAAAACTACTTTTTTCCTGTATATTCAGCAGATATTTAAATTGACAAGTTATTTCAAAGATTACCTTCAACTAAAGTTAAGACTTAAAAAAGAAAAAGAATGGCTTATTAATTCTTAAAAAATTATTATTAGCAAGGTGTGATATGAGATTGAAGTCTTCTAAATAAAAGTTAAAAACAATGTAAAATATTTATTTAAAAAATGACAATAAAAATAGAGGGAAAGGTCTGTTAGAAGAAAATTTGTAGTTAAAATTGAAGGATGCATGTTTGATTTAGAGAAACAGAAAAACAAGGTTTTAAAATATTCTAAGATCAAAATGAAATGAGATGATGAAAGTTTATTAATAAAATATAGAAACAGGAAGTTCAAAAATATTATTACCATGATTACTTAAAACAGGTATTTAAAAGGCCTGCGGAGGCTCTTGAAATCCCCAGTTCTGGAAACTTTTGAAAGGAATAAATGCTCAATGTATTGAATTTCTACAGTATGTCTTCAAATATGCTGCATACGTTACATGCATTATCCCTCCAACAATTTTATCAGGTAAGCCTTATTACTCCATTTAACAGATGCACAAACTGAGGTTCATAAATGGAAAGTGCCTTCCCCAATATTATACAAATAAGAAATGGCAAGGCCAGGATTTGAGTCTAGTCTATATGACTCCAAAGCCTGAGCTCTTAACAGTCCTGCTATGTGCATCTCTATATGCAAGAGGATAGAGAAGATAATAATTCATTTAAACTCAAAACTCATAGGTGATATCCACTAATTCAAAAGATAGTGTGTATGTATTATGCTCCAAATAATATGCAGGATGTTGAGAATACAAAAGCAAATAATCTATAGTCTTGAGAGGTAATAGAAGCAGACTCAAACAAGTGATTACATTTTCAGGGAAATGAGTTCTGACTTGAAGAAAGAGGAAGTCTTGAAAGCACAGAGAAGGGCCACCTATCCCTGCCTACAAAGTTTTCTTTTTGGTGTGAATCCTGAGCTAAATATTAAATAGTGAATAAAGACTGAGCTCAGTGAAGTCAGAGGCCAGTTATAGGAGGGAGGAACACTTGTAAGTCTTAGTTAGGGCAGTCAAGGAACAGGAAAGAAGCCTGGGTATGGGCTGGAGGAGATAATAGACCAAAAGGGATCTTGTTTAGTGTGCTAGGATTTTTTCCCCCAAGGCAATGCAACGATAAGCCATTGAAGAATTTTAAACAGGGGAGTATGACTTTTTTTTTTTCTTTTTGAGAATGAATGCTCCATCTTTAGTGCTATAAATAAATACAGGGCACTGCTGCAATATTCTAGGCAGTCTAGTACCATGATGCCCGGGCCTGTGGTCTCTAAGTATGCGGTGTACACCCAGGATGCATAAGATCTGCTACTGGGGCCAGGAAAAGAAACATTAGAACGTTTATTTATTTTTATTTTATTTCAACTGACAACCTTCCTGTTTCTTTAAAATAGGTCCTTTTTTTTTTTTGAAATCGTTTTCATACATGTAATTTAAGTCCCAGTACAACTCCAATAACTACTAATATTTATTCAGCAGCCAGGAAGTGCATTAATCACTTTGAGGACATTACACTTTGAATTCTCACAAGCCTATAAGTTAGTGATAATTAGCTCCATTTTATAGATGGAGAAAACTAAGGCTAGGGAGATTAAATACATTGCTCAAGACTTCTCAACCAGTAAGTGGCGTGGTTAGGACTTAATAAGAGACACAAAAGATGCCAATACAGCAGTTGTAATTATCTGGACTCTGACTTGTATCTACTAGGACTTTTCAGCTTTTATCTGCTGATGTTTTTGTGGTAGCTTGTCTCCAAAGATGGCTGCTATCAGTAATTTCCCTCCCTGTGGAGAGGTGGGATCTGCTCCTCTACCCTCTTGAACCAGGGCTGATTTATGTCTGTTTTGATCAAGAGGAAAGAGCAGAAGTGAAGGTGATCTAATTCCAGACCTAATTGTTAAGAGAACTAGCAGTTGCTGCCTCCTGTCTATGTGAGCACTCAGATGCTCTATAGAAATTTCAGGCTGGACAGAGAATTCCAGGCTGGCTACCTGGAAGAGTAGGGAGTGTCAGGTGTGTGAGTGAAGTCGTCTTGGATGGCCATCCCAGTTGAGCCTTCAAATGGCCCCAGCTTCTCTGTGTCTAAAACTGCACAAAAGACCCCAAGTGAAAACACCCAGCTTAATCTGATCAACTCAGAATCCTGAGAAGATTATAACAAATTGTTTTTGTAAAACATTAAATTTTGGTGTAATTTGTTACATAGCCATAGATAACAGGAACAATATATTTTCTCAAATTCAAGTTTAAATTGAATTTACATATCAGAGTGCCCCTTGCTTATTTTTATCTGATTAAATATGTTGATATCCTGCAACAATCACTATCTCAATTTTCCCTATTTAAAATCTAAATATCAATGGCAGAATAAACTTTTGCAATGTATTGAATTTTGCCAGGATGACCAAACAAAAGTCTATATTAGAGTCTGTCCAAGATCTGAAGGGGAAGTTGTGCATTCCTTGCACTTTTTTTTTCTTTTTAGGTGAAAAGTTGCAATGTCACAATTGTAAATGTCATTTAAAAAGCTAAATTAGTGTTATTTAGTGTTGACTAATAAATCATGATTATTGTTCTTAATCATGACTTATAATTCATGATCATTGTCCAGAAACAATTACTACCTATCACTACATTTATTCATAAAGCTATATTTTAATTAATAATTTTAGCTGTAATCATTTGTTCATATGTAATGGCCTATTCAGCATTATTCAGTAGATGATATGCGTGGCTTCAGAGATGTGTGACATTAGCTCAAATCTGCATTTCCTGATAGTGACCAAGTCTGCCCTCTTTTTATATTTGTACATACTACTAATTGCTCTTCAACTATTGAATCTTACTCATTAAAGGTTATTTTATTTTTCAGGAAAGTTCTATAAAGCTTTCTTAAAGTGAAGAGAGAGAATAATTATTAGCATGAAATGTATGAAATTGCCAATATTTTACCATTTTTGCCAACAAAAATGAGTATTTCATAATACTATATTCCAACTACTTTTTTACTCAAGCCTTACAATTTCCTTATAGAGCAAGTCAGGTAGAAGAGGGTGTATACGCATTTTTATTTAGTAGGAGGGTATATTAGATGTTAAGCAACTTATACTTGCTCTCGGCTGGAAAGCGACATAGTTAGAATT